CACACCCACACCCACACCTATTTGAAGAGAACTCGAAAACCAAAACCTAAATCTTGTTCCATTTAGGTTTTTCCCGGTGTTCGTTATTGAATAATTATATATTTGGTTTGCAATTAATTTCCTTTCAATGAACTCTTGATCTTATGTTAGTATAGAAACTACATAGAGTTCCAATACCAAAACAGACTTATAACGTTCATATTGGTAATTCGGTCTAAGGAGCTCTAAGTATGAAACTTATTTTAAAAAAAGAAAAAGAGCACGACGTAGTTTAGCGCACTCTACTAATAAGAGCTGAATACATCGAAACTCTGAAAGCATATATCAAGCAAACTCTACATCTACCTAAACTAAAATGTAGAAATTCTATTGAAAGCACTAGCGAAGTGTACATCTTCCAAAACTGAAATGAAGAAATTGAGTAGAAAACAAGAGCGAACTCTACATCTTCCTAAACTGTGTGCGATTCGAACTTGAAAATACAAATTGTTAAATATGAGCATTTAACAATTAAAACATGAAATTTAAATTAATTAAATTTTTGTAGTTTTCGAAAAATAAATAGTTTAATTTGTTAACTTTAATGTTGACTGCAGTTTAAAGTTTTAACAGTATTTTAAAATTTCATTTTTACTTATGTTCGCAAATGAGAGGATACCTCTACACACACTCACACGTATACCTACATAAATCCACACTCATCATTGGGCATAATAATAAAATTGACTATATTAATTAAAAAGATAAACTTAAAGAAAAAAGAAAAATATTTTAATAATTGAATCATTCGAATGTAGAGTAAATTCTTTTTTTTTTCTTTGTTTTTAACAAGTTAAGCTTATCTGAAAGAAAAAAAAACGCTTGTTACTTTGTCACTTAAAAACAAACAGTTGATAAAGAAGAGTGTGTGATAATGGTAAGAAAAAAAAAACGTGTTTGATAAAAGAAATATATTATCTATGCTGTTGCTCTAAGATTAATTTCAATTTTGCTAATTAGATTTTAAGTTTATACTCATCTTAAATGCTATGTTCTATTTTCTTCAAGAGTGATTTAACAGATTTGGCTGTTTGTGTAAAAAATGCATGGAAAAATTATGGTCATTGGTGGAAATCAATAACAGTTTTACATGATATAAATATTACTGTTCCAACAGGAATAATGTATGTTATTTAATTATGAAAATACAATGATAAATATTAAAATCTAGATATGGTTTATTGGGTCCATCAGGATGCGGAAAAACAACTCTTTTACGATGCATTGCTGGCCGTTTAGAATTAAATCGAGGAGAAGTAATTGTATTAGGTAAACGACCAGGTAGCCATGGACATGAAGTTCCTGGTCGCTCAGTTGGTTATATGCCACAAGAAACAGCACTTTATAAGAATTTTTCAATATCAGAAATGCTTCATCATTTTGGTCGTCTTCATAATATGAGTCGAAAAGATATTTTAGCTCGCGAAGAGTTTCTTATTTCATTTCTTGATTTACCCTCAAGATCAAGAAATGTTTCACAATTAAGGTTTAATTGAATATTTATTTTATTCAATAAACGATTGTTATGTTTTTTTTTGCTAAAGTGGTGGTCAACAACGTCGTGTATCATTAGCATGTGCTCTTCTTCAGCAACCTCAATTATTAATTCTTGATGAACCAACTGTTGGAGTTGATCCTTTACTTCGAGAAAAGTTTTTACATTGATATATTTAATCGTTTTATTATTTTATTTTATTTTATTTCATTTTAAAGAATCTGGCGTCATCTTATAAATATATCAAAAACAAATAAAACAACAATCATAATAACAACTCATTATATCGAAGAAGCAAGAAAAGCTGATCGCGTAGGAAGTTTTATTTTATTTTATTTTATTTTGAATTATAATTGTACAACAATTCTATTTAGGTTGGACTTATGCGAAGTGGAAGAATGTTAGCAGAGGATGAACCATCTAGTATTCTGAACAAATATAATCAAATAGTTTGTTCTTATTTTTTATTAAAATAATTCAAGTAAATCAAAAAATACTTTCTTTTAGAGTTTAGAAAATGTTTTTCTTCAATTATGTTATCAAGATCAAAATCGAATTCAGCAACACGTTTCACTGAATCGAACCGATGGCGATAAAGATACTGATATACCCAATGAAATTGACAATGAAGAAGAACCTTCTATCTTTCTTGATGTATCAAACAGTAGAAATGAACGAGAACATTTGATACCGAAAAAGCAGAAAAGAAAATTTGAAAAAAATCGTAAGTTTCGATTGAGAAATAAAATAAAATAAATAAGAAATAAAATAAATTTATTAAGCATTGATAAGTGCAAAACAAGTGGCAGCTGATTATTTCGTATTTCCTCATATGCATAAAATTTACGCATTAATGATGAAAGATTTTACAGTAATTAAAAGAAATATCGGGTAATTCTTTTTTCTAGCATTTCTTTTATTGATTAATGTTGTTGTGTTATTAGTTTATTGTTGTTTCAATTTTTAATTCCCGTTATTCAAGTGTCACTTTTTTGTCTTTGTATTGGTCGTAAGCTAATTTGATATTTTATTGAATTAAAATTATTATTAAAGTGATATTTAGGTAATGCTGAACATATTCCAATGGCACTTTATAATAGTGAAGCAATAAATGGATTTCCAACAGGAAATTTAAGTTTACAAATTATAAATAAAATAAATCCAGATCAAATTCATTTAGTATGTTGAAATATTTGTCTTTTTTAATTAAAATTTATTTTATTTTAATAATGAAGACATCATTTGATGATTTTGATAAAGCAATTGATCTTGTTAAACAAGGAAAATATTGGGGTGTTGCTGCTATTCCGTATAATTTTACACAAGCAATCAAAAATAAGTTCGCATTTTTTCTGTTTGATTTACATTTTATCTTAATTCAATTTTTGTTTTAAAGATTATTAGCATTTCAGACAGATCCAGCTACATTAAATGCATCATCGCTTCATCTTTATCTTGATATGACGAGTAAGTCGACATTGTAGCAAGATTATCTGCAATAATAACATAACAAAAAAAAGAATGAATTTGTACCAAATAATTGAATTAAATTATTTCTTTTGTATATAAGATGCCTTGATTAAAAGTTCTGAGAACACCATAGACAATCCTTTTAATCACTCATATATAATTCAATAGTTCTGTTTGTTCTTTAATCATGTATATCTGAAAATTATCATAATATAATTTCTTCATATCCAAAATGTTAATCGTTTCATTAGCTTCTATCATTTTATGCTGTTGTCAGGCAATGTAGAGAAGATCAATACTCAAGAATTGTCAGATATTGTCCTTTTGAAAAGTTGCTTTAATGCCTACTTAACTTAGAACTTTTGTGAAACAGTTTGTTAGCGCAACATCTTTGGAACTGAAATGTGGAACTCACATTTCTTCTTTAGTTTTATCATACCAATACAAAGTACAGTGTAAAAATTCGAAAAAATGACACTCTCTTTCTATGATTATCATTTGTCAGCAAAAACTGTCTCTTTTTTTATTTTGAAACAATCTTAGCGTGAGCTGTTGCAGCTCCCCATTCCTTTGCCTTCCCATATTACAGATTTTAACAACCAAGATTACATAATGGATATTAATGACAGCATTATTAGCCATTTTATTCAATACTCATAATAATAAAAATGCTAAATTTAGAACAAGTAGAAAAATAAAAAATAATGACTGAGTAGCAATAATAGAAGTAAAATGTAGGGCACTCGTAACAAACAAGAAAACAAAATTTCTTTTTGAAATACAGAAATAAAAAGCACAACATTTGCTGACAATCGATTATCATAAGAAAAAAACGATCGACTTTTAGAGATTTTACATTGTGGATTTCGTATTAGTATAATAAAGCTGAAAAAGATATTTGGGTCAATGTCCGACTCAGGTCAAGTTTTCCACTTTACAATTGCTACTCACTCGTTGTTTTTCATTTTCGTAATTTTTGTACTTTAACATTTTTATTATTATGAGTATTGAATTAATAATGCTGTAATATATATCTATTATTTAATCTTGGTTGTGAAACTTATATGAGTTCGACAAAATACTTAAAAACCAGAAAAAAAACGTTATAGTAATTTTCCGGAGGTTGAGATGAGTATTATGCATCAGAGATGTCCATGGCGGCGCTGCTGCTGCCGCGGTGGCAATGACAGCATTCTTTTTGTAGGACATTGAAAAACTGCATGAATTTAATAGAATTTCAGGGTTTACAAATAAAACACCCCGAGACTGAATGAATCTAATGGACTAGTACCAATATTTCTGGTCAAATATAGTCGCAGCAGTGAAATTAGAAACACTTTTTTGAAAATCGCCAAAGCAGCTGCACGGCGGCGACACGTTTATTTTACAATTCATCACGGCAGCGGCAGATTTTCAGCCGCGATGAACATCTCTGTTATGCATAACCACTTATGAGATCTTGTTCATGTTGAGTCCTTTAAAAAATTCAAAATGAAATATTTGTCTTCTATATTAAGATCAACAAGTGTCATTAACAATGCAAAATGCTATGGTAAATAGTACAGAACTATTTTTAAAAGAAGTTTTATCCAGTTATAAAATTGATCCATCAATAGCTGACCCTCCAGTAATACTAGAAACTCCTCTTTATGGAAGTCTTGTTCCACGATTTTTAAATTTTGCTGCACCAGGAATGATGATATCAATCATATTTTTTTTGGCAATTGGTTTAACAGCATTAATATTTGTTGTTGAAAAAAAAGAAGGCCTTTTAGAACGTAGTTGGATTGCTGGTGTTACAACAATTGAAGTTATGTTTGCTCATATTATTGTTAAAGTTTTTATTCAAGCTATTCAAATTGTCCTTGTACTTGTTTTTATAGATTTTATTTTTAAAGTTTGTTTTCAATTTTATTTTGTTATTTATTTATTTTACTTTTAAATTAAGGTTGAAATTAAAGGTTCAGTTTTCTTAGCAGCGGCATTAATTTTTCTTACAGGACTTTGTGGAATGAGTTATGGTAAGTAAAGAATATGTTTCGTTGTTTTTTGAAATCGAATAAATTATTTATCTTTTCTAAAGGTCTTTTAATATCTTCACTATGTGAACAAGAAATCGAAGTTATGCAAGTTGCACTTGGAAGCGTTTTCCCTGTTTTTCTTGCCTCAGGTTGGTTTTTTTTGGAACTTAATTATGGTTTTTTTCCTTCATGTATAAGTAATTCATACTTAAAGGTGTTATATGGCCACTTGAAGGAATGCCATCAGCAATGCGTTTTCTAAGTAATTTCAGTCCAGTAACACATCCCATTGAGGCAATGCGGTGTATAGCTGCAAGAGGTATTCGATTTGTTTTTTTTTTTATTTAAATCAATAGATAAATTGATATCACATTTAGGTTGGTCAATTTTTTATTTTAAAGTATGGTTTGGTTTTGTCAATGTTAGCGCATGGAGTTTGGGATTTTTTATCATAGCTGCTATTCTATTTGCTCTTAGAAAATAAAAGTTCTTGTTCAGTGTGTTTATTTTATTTTATTAAAAATTAAATTTTAAATCTTTTAAATAATTTTTTTTAATCGTCACTTTTTTAAAAACAAATTTATCATGTGAATAGAAAACCAAATCAGTCTCGGTAGTACATAAAACAAAGAAAATACAATTGATTTATGCAAAATATATATCTTTTTTCCTCAAATAGAAATCAGCTACTGTAAAGATCGTTATGAAGTAAAAATGTCTTCAGCAGAGATACCGCATGGGTTGAGTTGATGTGGATCTGTGTGTGAGATGAACGTCGCTGAAGAGAAGAAGAGCACCACGCCACACTCGCTCCCTGATGAATGAGGGTGCTATTTCTCTTCGCCCTCTGACACCCACACCAACAGTCACGTTTACTCATGATGGCAATATATCATGCAATTCGATACAAAAATTTGACTCTTTTACCTAGCACTTTCATCGATGTCGTAATGCAAAAAAAAACAAAGGTCTCCAAATTTTCTGTGACATAGGAATCTCATTTTTCTGTTCATTTCTACTAAAGGCTTATTCCATTTTCATCTAAAAAAATCTATATATATAATGTTCAGTGTGTGTTTCTCTGTGCCGGGTCAAAGGTTAAAGGTCACATAAGGCTACAAGAGGGAAGGCCCAAGGGCTATTATATGGGGGTACCTATAGGTCCTCAAGCGCATATTATAGGGGAGCACCCTTTGGTCCTCAACGGCTCTCTTACGGAGGTACTCATAGGTTTCAAGGGCTATTATATTGGAGCACCCATAAGCCCTGAAGGAAGTAAGGCAATCTATATATATAATGTTGAGTATGTGTGTTTCTCTGTCCCGGGTCAATGGTCAAAGGTTAACGATCGAATAAGGTTATATGGGGTAAGGCTTTAAGGAAGAAAGCCAATAAGGGAGTAAGGCAATAAGAAGATAAGATTTTAAGGGGGGTAAGACTGTAAGGGGGAGTAGGATATAATGGGGGAACGCTATTAGGGGGGAAAACTATATGGGCGTAAGGAAATATCGAGATAAGGGTACAAATGGTAAGGCTTTAAGCAAGAAAGTCAATAAGGAGGTAAGGCTATTAAGGGGTAAGGTTATAAGGCAATAAGTGGGTAAGGCTATAAGGGAGGAACGCTATAAGAGGGGAGCGCTCTACGGGATTAGGCTACAAGTGGTAAGGCTATAAGACTGTAAGGCTACATGGAGCGTTAGTAATATAACAATATAACGCTGTAGGGCTACTATGTACATAGTGTCGAGTGTCTCTGTGTCTGCTACCGAATGAAAGGTTAGAGTTTTGAGGTCGTGCGTTAAAGGAGGGTGTGGGTGTGAGTGGGTGTGGGTGTGGGTGTGGGCGGGGTGTGTGGGTGTGGGTGTTCTTTATCACACCACCACCCCCACACGCACCCACACCCACACCCCATACCCACACCCCACACTCACACCCACCCCATACCCCACATCCACCCACACGCACACCCACACACACCCACACCCCACACCCACCCACACTCACACCCACACCCACACCCACTGCTGATCTTTTGCTTCTCAAAGTCATCATTTATCACCGTCGTATAAATAACTTTTTTTGAAAGACTAGACGATAAAGTAGATAAGCCATTAAAAAAGCTTTTCTGTATTTTTTATATAACTTTCCTTTATTGTACACCCTTATGAGATAAAAATGCTTTTCATCGACTATATCCAGAGTTGATACAAATAAAAATCAAGTCAAAATTCCATTCTGACGTGTGAAATCCAAAAAACTATAAAGACGAATATATCAAAAAGCGCCAATTTGTCAGCGAGTATATCTAAAGTAATCAATAAGAGCTGTGAAACATTTGACGTTAACAAAATGAGTAATGATCGAAGACGAGTATTGATGTCAGTGATGATGAATATTTGTTATCTTCAGTTTTGTTGCCAACAAATAACGTCAAACGAATAATGATATATTTATTTATCTTATCTTATCTTATGGACTCTCGTCCTTAAACTATTCTTACGAAAAAAAAAAATTCTTGTATATATAAATTATTAATATTCTGAAGTGGAATTGAAAACTACATAAATTAAATATGGGCAATAGTAACAGTCGTGCAATTGTAATTAATCTTGATCAAAACAAGTTATTTTATTTTTCTGGTGAATCTGTATCAGGAAGAGTCGACTTAAATATCATAGAAGGAAAGCTAGAAGCAGATGAAATCTATATAGTATTAACAGGTGAAATTGGTTACACAACAACTCGAACTGTATCAACTGGTAGAGGTCGAACATCAAGACGGACTGAATATCATCACGTTCCATTTTATGTTGCTAAATTTATTTTTGCTCGACCTGAATCTGGACAAAATGAATTAGTTTATGGTCAAGGACAATATTCATGGCCATTTCAAATTCCATTAACTGATTATCTTCCACCAACAGTCAATCAACCTCAATCTTATCCTCATGTTCGATATTATTTACAAGTTGTTATTGATAAACCATGGTATAAACCAAATATAAGAGAAACAAAATATTTAACAATATTTCCACGTGTTAATTTATTACAAAATCCTCAATGTTTATTATCAACGATATTTGAAAAACAAAATAGAAAAGATATAAAATTAAAAGGTACTTTAAATAAAGTAGGATATGTTCTTGGAGAATCAATACATATGACATTAGAAATTGAAAATCCACGAAGAGTTTTAATTCAACGTATTGATCTTTCAATGTTACAATCATATCAAATTGGACGAAATTCACGTGGATATACGATATTTCAAACAACATTACCACATATTCTTAATTTAAAAGATCAACAAATACGAGAAACATTTTCTATAATAATTCCATCTGTACCAATACCACCTTCATATCAATTTCAAGGAGGAATTCATAGAGTTGCTCTGGTTAATATTTTTTATATGCTCAGATTTGCAGTTAAAGTCGAAGGAATTTTTACTAATTTTGATATTAATGTACCAATTACATTGGGAACAGAACCAGATCCTAATCTAAATCAACAACAAACATTTAATCCTATAGTTGTTTCTTATTCTTCAAATCCTGAACAATCTATGTTTAATGATGATGATTTACCGCCGAACTATGACTCTATTGTACAAAATAATAAATAATTTCTTTTATATATAAAAATATCAAAATTTTATTTACCTATCATTTTCTCATACCTATTAATACAATTATGCTTTTTTTACTGCCACTAAAAATACAGTTATGCAGAAACACAAAAAAAATGCTAAAACTAGCAAATTCAATGTTTGTTTTTGTAGGTTGATTTTTGAGGAGAAACAAAAAGTAAGATATTTTTAACACGTACTTGATTGTAATAGTATGAAGTACTTCGTCGTTTAAATGGCACATCACACAACACAACAGTATTCAATTGTGTGATTAAAATAAAAAGAAACCGTTGTACACGATCATAAGTGACAATACGTTTAAATGCTAGAAAATCATCATTTTTGGGTGTGGGTGTGGGTGTGGGTGGGTGTGGGTGTGGGTGGGTGTGGGTGTGGGTG